TTCCGTGTGGATTCCAGGGATCAAACTCAGGTCATCGGGTTTGGTGGCAAGCCCCCTTGGCCCCTGGAGCCATCTCACAGACCCTGTTTGTTGTCATTAAGCTGAAAAGGACTTAGTCACCGTGAGCAAAGCCCTACTGCTGGAATGCTGCAGGTTTGGCACCCCAGAGACCCGGGCATCCTTCCCCGGGAACTGCAGCACCACAGCATAGTGAGTGGGAGTTTATTGATCTGGGAATGAAGCTCAGCTGGCAGAGGGCTTGCCTAGCACACACAAAGCACTGAGTTAGGTCCCTCGAACTCCATCAACTGGATCCGAAATTGATAGTCAGTCTTGGCTACAAAACGAGTTTGAGTCCAGTCTGGAATACATGAAACTCTGTCTCAAAAAAAGTGAGAGTTTATCAAGGAAGAACATACACACTGAACCTGTTTGTTGATGACTTCTGCTTCTGCTTTCTGGTCCATTATCTATGGGGCCTTCCTGAAGGCCACAGAAAACTGAGATGCTTGCCATTAGCAGCTTTGCATGTGTGTGTGTGTGTGTGTGTGTGTGTGTGTGTGTGTGTGTGTGTGTGTGTGTCTCAGCATCCTGAGCTCTGGAATTACAAACTTGAACCAATCACCCAGCTCCTGTCCAGTCGGGAGAACCTCCTGACACCGAATCAGATCATTTTAATCTGTGTCCTTACAACAAGATCTATCTGGGTAAATGAGGCAGGAAGTCAATATGGCCATGCTGGAGATACACATCCTAAAATATAACAGGGGGCATTGCATCTCCCAAAGTCACACTGGTTATAAGAACTGAGGCTCCTGTGTGTGCTAGCTCTTCCTCATCTTGTGACACAAGGCTGCCTTGGTAGCTCAGAATTCTGACTGGGAAGATATAGTTCCCAAGGCGCACGGGAATCCGTCCCACATGGCCAGGGAGGGGGAGACTACCTTCCTGCCACTCTAGAGAGAAGGCCGGCCCAGGACCCTCCCTCTCTCGTCTTCAAACATGTAGCCTAGCTGTGGGCAATACTTGTAGAAGAAATCTGGGGAGAGGCATGGACTTTTCCCAATCCCAAGCTAAGTCAAAGCTGCCCCTGGTGTCCAGTCAGCCTGACTGGCTTAAGGGCCAGAACTTCTTCCTTTATCCAAAAGCTCAGAGGCGGGAGGGTGATGGGGGGGGTGGACGACGACACAGTGAAGGGCAGCCTCAACTTCTAGCCCCCTCCCCCACCCTGACAGCTGTAATCTGCCTGGGAAAATCTCCTCCCCCCCTGCACAGGAAAAAATATTAGTTGTCCCGATAACAAGGAAAACAAAATCCAGTGCAGGGCATGCGAGACTTCCTGAGGCGGAAAACAATGTCCATGGAGAGCTCTGTGGAGAAGGGCTAAGTTGGAAGGCTGAGTGGGAGCCCTAAGGACACTGGTCCAGTCCTATCCGGCCAGCGGGGAAGGGGGGATGACAGATCGAGGAACTTGGAAAAAATATTTCCACCCCCAAAACCTTGAAGTCTGGGCTGTTGAGCTACATCCGGGAAATGATTCAGGACAGGGTCACGTCCCCACACAGGACTCCAGACCCTTGCTCAGGTGTGCTCAGCCCATCTCCCTTCCCTCCTGGACCCAGCCTGCTTTCTCAGGGACTGGCTGCAGGCCCTAAGAAATTGTAAGGCCCGAGAGAAAGTCACTCCCCTGACTGAAGTCACTGGGACCCTGTAAGAACTCCTCTCGTTGCCCACAGCCGCTTTCCTGGGTACTTTTCCACAGGGGCAGAAAGAGTTGGACACTTGTGAATGCCTTGTTCCTTGTCCCTGGGTCAGAAGACTCTGTTGCCCATGTTGTCCTCTGCGGCACTGACTCCTGGGCTGGGTGTGTCCAGCTTTGGGGGGGAGCACCCCCACCCCTTACACCAGCAGGAGAGCCTTTAGAAACATCTGCCCCCTAGGCCTCATCTCAGAGACCTGGCCTATCAGAATCTCCAGGGAACGGCTCCAATGATTTCTGTGTGCGGCCAGGATGGAGGATTCTAGCCCTATGTTCCTGTAACTTTAGTCACTCTCTCTCTTCGTCCCACCACCACCATCAGAACTGGACCCTTGGATTTCCATGTGAGAGCCCCTCAGAAGTGGCCACCTAGGATGGTGGTCTCTGGAGGTGTCTGCAGAATTCCCTGCCCCAGCTGGAGGCCAGCTGCCCAGCCCAATAGCAGGTTCTGGGTTACTGCAGCCCCTCCCTCTGATTCTCCTCCCCCCTGGGCAATGAAGCCTGGGGCCTTTGTTCTCAACCAACAGGAGTGTGACCAGAAACCCACCCACAGTTTAATTACAGTCCCATTCAGTGGCCACAGGCTGGCCACCATCCTCACTCAACCTGCTCCACTTGGCCCCATGGGGCTTCCAACCCAGACCAGCCCAGTGCAGCTCCACCGTGTTCAGGGTCATGCCAGCTTTGTTCCGAGGAAGACCTTGCTCTCCCTTGCCCCAGTACCTTCAGCCCTTGTTCTGCACAAAGCATAAAGGCTGTGACCTCCTTGAGCATCAGTGACCCTGATATAGTGCTACTACAATGACATACTGCTGTGCCAAATTCCGGGCTCTCTTGAACTCACAGTCCAATGTGATTTACTCTTTATTCTATTTTATGTGAGGCACAGTTCGCCTGCATGTATATATGTGTACCACATGCATGCCTGGTACTTGCAGAGGTCAGAAGAGGTCAATGGGTTCCCTGAAACTGAAGTTATGAATGGCTATGAGTCTCCATATGGGTGCTGGGAACTGAACCCAGGTCCTCTGCAATAGCAAAGAGTAGCCTCCAGGCCCCAACTCACTATTCTTTAATACCCGCCCCCCAACTCACTTTTTGTTGTTTATAATTATGTGCAGTCAGTCACATGCTAAGCTCTTTGAAGAGTATATACTCAGAAAGTCACCCACCCTGCTCTCAAAGGCCTTGTCAGACGGAAGGAAGCACCATCACAAGGTAATGTCATTCATAGTCCCTGCTACCTTCCCAAGGGCCCCTACAAGCGTGGTAGGCAGAACGTTACAATTGTTCCGTCTATATTCGCTCAGTCAATGGATATCTGGCTGTTAGGTGACTTTACAGGTGAAGGTAGACATCTTAGGGGCAGGGCCAGTGCGAGCTTCCACTTACAGCAAATGCAGGAGAGTGAAGACAGAATGAGGCGTCACCTGAAGCCTGGCCAAAAGAAGTCATCAAGGTCCTCTTTGTCTCCTGCCACCTGAGCTTTTGGCATCCAAGGGGTTTCTAAGTGAGAAACCATAGGTTGCCACACCCTCTGCTTAAGTGGTCTTGTTCACCTAGAAGGCAACCAGAGGGGCTGGACCTCAGAGAAGCTTTTGTGTTCCCCCTGAGGCGACTTTCCCCAGTCTCCTGTTTCCCTCTGGAGGAGGCAGACATGGTCCCCGGTTCCCATCACAGTGTTTTCCAAACAGGTGAAAGATGCCATGGACAACTGGCCACCTGGTCGTGGGCAAGGGGAAGCCCCAGTGCATATCCCTAGGGGTGCATCATGGGGAAGGCACCGCAGCCTACTTCTCCTCAAGCTTCAGTGCTGACCCTTGGCCTGGGTAGTGAGGAACAGGCCTCAGAGGCCTGAAGTGAGGGGGCCTCGCAGGGAGGGGGTCCAGTCCCAGCTGCCTAGCTCTGGGTACTAAACAGGCTGCGCCAGGGGCAGCAGAGATGAGGGCACTCCACCACCTGCTTTTCCTTGTTTTGTTTTCAGGGCACTAATTACTGTGCTGAGCTTGGAGCTGCCTAATGAGGCCGTTTGGATTTCCTGTTGTTCTGGCTTCCCAAGACCCTTAAAGGGCCAGCATCACACTGGGCGTATGCCCTGGGTGGGACAGCGTCCTGACAGGGTGAAATTAGAGGGGCTTTCTCTGGGGTCAGCTTGGGCAATGCTCAGCTCACTGCTCCCCTAGTCTCCAGGAGTGCCCACCCAGAAGTGCTCTCTCCGGAAACAGGAGCCTAAGAACCTTGTGGCTTGGCCAGGGCTCAGGGTGGGGTGAGGGAGGCAAGGAGGCCAGAGCTGTGGAGGAAAGGCCGGTGATGTCACCAGTGCCCAGACTGTGAGAACCGCTGCAGCACCAGCAGGAGGGAAATGCTGTGACGTCCTGTCGTGTTCCCCTCCTCCCACTGGAAAATAAACACTTGTTGTCTGAGAAACCTGAGCCACCTCTGAAGGGCAGGCTGTAGATCAGGCTACCCCTTAAGTCAGCCCCTCTGGACCACGCCAGCAGAGCCTGCAGACTGCATGCAATCCCCTTTGCACTTTGGGGTTCTCCTTGGCTATCCCCTAAGGAGCAGAGCACTGGGGGTGTCTGGGAGCCCATTCACAAGCGACATGCCACATGCTGCAGCTGGGCGGATGGGCAGCTGAGGGGACACCATCTGGCTGCTTGAATCCCCTTCAGATCTGAGGCACAGTCCAGGCCCCAGGACCTAAATGCCACTTGTGCTGTAAATGTCCAAGCTGCAGATCCCCTGGGTCCCTAGGAGGCCTGGCCTGCAGCACCCTCCCCTACAGACAGGGTGACGACATTGTTGTTCTTATACTACAGGGCCTTCCGCCTGAAGTTCCGGCTCCTAAATGGTGGGAATGAGGGTCCCCCGGACAAAGCCGGCCTGGTTCCCGCAGCCACCTCAGAATGGACGGAATCCCCATTGTGTGTGGGCGCCCCATGCCCGCCCTCCCTTACCCTCACCGGACATGCCAACAAACAGCTCATTGAGCCTGGGGAGGGGCCCGAGAGACAACAATGCCCCCCAGTAGGCCCTGGTAGTGAGCTCAGCTGGGGGTGGAGGCTGCCATGGAGGCTGGAGAGCGATGATCTCAGCCTTGGGAGAGTTGGCCAGTGTGACAAACTGACCTGAGCCTGGCCTCCCCAGTGAGACTAAGAAGGGCTGACCTGAGCCTCACTTTGACTGCCCCACCCCCAAGCTGGGAACAGACCGGCACTTCCCATACACTTAAACTACCCCTGCCCTACCTGGCGCCATCCAGGAGCAGCAGGCAGGTCCTTGGAACCCAGGAGAGAGATCTTGGACCCAAGAGCCTGGTAGAGACTTCCTCTGGTCCTAATGGAGGTCCAGACCAGCAGCCCACACTGATCACAGTAGAACTTGAGGACCCCGGGGTAGAATGTACTTTCTATGACCAAATCTTCAAAAGACATCGGGATAGTCAAAACCTGTGTTGAAAGTCCTGTGGGGGGGGGTGGGACCTCACGCCCTTAAACAGCACAGAACTGGTCTAAGTGCACTCAAGATCTCCCCTTACCTTGAGCTTATGTGTAGAACTTTCCAGACACAGGGCCTCAGGTCACTCTCCCAAAACACCTTGTGGATTCCAGGTTTGACTAAACCCTGTCTCCTCTGCTGACCAGGTCAGCAGGGCATCCTGCTGAGGGAACCAGAAGACATAGGGAGCTAGCCACAAGAAAATGTGGTCAAGCTACCTCCACTCTACAGACGTTGGACAAGCCAGGTGCAGGTTTGCAGAGGTTGATGGAAGGGGGCGGGGTCTTTGGGGTGAGAGGTTGTAACAATGCTTGGATTCTGGCATTCTAGACCACCCAGACATCCACCCATGGAAGCTGTACATTTGGTCCCCAGCCTCAGATGCCGGAAGGCTTTATGCCTCGGTCTCTCTGCACCTCCCCACATACACTTCTATGTCCACCACCGCCCAGTGGTGGCTGTGCTATTACCTCTGCTCAAGAGCTGAATTCATCTGCCTGGCGAGTTTCCATGCCCTGGCCACCATGCTCACATCCAAACTCACAATTCAAGACTCTGTCCCCTACCCAGCCCTGCGAGCAGTACCTACCCATTTCCTCCCTTATCCTGGGCCTCTCTGTGCCCATCAGGAACGGTCTCCTTCCCTCCTTCCAAGAACTGCTTTGGGCTGGAGATATGGATCTGTGCTGACTGCTCTTCCAGAGGACCGGAGTTAGGTCCCTGGCATCCAGGTCAGGGGTCACAACCACCTGTAACCTCAGGTCTAGGGCATCTGGCACCCTTTTCTGGCCTCCACAGGCACCTGCACACATGTAAGATATACTCACACATATGTACAAACACATGTCACATAAACAAACAACAAAGACCTGGATTTTTTTTTGTTTGCCTCCTCCATGAATCGTCCTCTGAGCCATGGTTCCACAGACTAGCTACCACATTCTTTTTTTTTAAAGACTTATTTACTATGTACACACTGTTCTGCCTGCATGTCAGAAGAGGGCACCAGGTCTCATTATAGATGGTTGTGAGCCACCATGTGGTTGCTGGGAATTGAATTCAGGACCCCTGGAAGAACAGCCAGTGCTCTTAACCTCTGAGCCATCTCTCCAGCCCCTGCTAGCACATTCTTTTTCTTTCTTTCTTTTCTTTTTTCTTTTTCTTTTTTTTTTTTTTTTGAGACAGGATTTTTTCAGGCCCTAGGTGTCCTGAAATTCGCTCTGTAGACTAGTCTGGCCTCAAACTCAGACATCTGCCTGTCTTTGCCTTTCGAGAGCAGGGATTAAAGGTGTGCACCACAGGCTGGAGAGATGCCTCAGAGGTTAAGAGAGGTTAAGAGCACTGACTGCTCTTCCAGAGGTCCTGAGTTCAATTCCCAGCAACCACATGGTGGCTCAAAAAAACCATCTACAATTCAATTTGGTGCTCTCTTTTGGTATGTAGGCAGAGCACTGTATAATCTTAAAAAAGAAAAAAATCTTCTTTTCCCTTTATAAAATATATTAATTAATTAGTTGTGTGTGCGTGTAGACACATGTACATGTACGGGTCATAGGACAACCTCAGGTATCAGTCCTCACCTTTCAGCTCCTTTTTAAGACACAGTCTCTTACTGTTCCCGAGCCTCCCTTCTCTGCGTCCGTCTTCCCACAGGCGCACAGGAATGGCAGACACACGCGACTGCACGTGGCTTTTATGTGGGTTCTGGGAATTCAAGCTCAGGTCTCCCTGCTTGTGTGGCAAGCACTTTACCATCTCTTCAAACTCCACATCTTATCCCCTGGGCAGAGCCAAATCACCGTCCCCTTGTGTCCTCAGGTGGTGGATCTCCTCCACAATGAGGTGGCTCTGGGATCCAATCTTTTTTTTTAACATTATTTATCTTTATTTTATGTGCTATTGCATGTGCGTCTGTGTGAGGATGCCAGAACTGGAGTTTCTGACAGTTGTGAGCTGCCATGTGGGTGCTGGGAATTAATTGACCTGGATCCCCTAGAAGAGCAGCCAGTGCTCTTAAACTCTGAGCCATCGCTCCAGACTCTTGCACCCAATCTTCATGCGTCTATGTTTCATCCCCGCTTACATGCACGCACATGCACATGAACTCAGTGAAGCCTCCCTCAGGAAAATGAACCAGGAATCTGTAGTACTATGCATGCTGTATGAGTGTGTGAGTGTGCTACTGTGAATTGAACCCAGGCCTTTATGCATGCTAAGTACATGCCTTACCACTGAACTCCGAACCCCAGCTCTTGGTAGCCCTGTTGATGGATTTGTCTCAGCTTCCCATAGCTTCCTCTAACCTGAAATGCTGAAAGGAGGTATCAAGGCCTGGAAGAGAAGGAAGGAAGTTGAGCACAAAGCATCTTGAGGTCTCAGATGCCAAGATGACTCCAACCATGGTGGTTCTCCTGTGACCTAAGAAAGATCCTGAAGAAGGGTGAGTGTGTACCAGAGTGTTGAGCTCTCTATTGCTGAGCTGTGTATAACTGAGCCCCTGGTATTGGCCACCCTGACTTTTCACCATTGCTCAGGAATTCCCCATGAGTACCCAAACTTGACTTTCTTACACCTACAGGACCGCAGGAAGGCACTTACAATGGCCCAAACTCCTTGGGGCTAAGAGGAAGCCCAGTTCCTATGGCCTCTAGGCCTGTGGGGACATTTTCCTAGATGTTCTAGATGGGCTGGAGGTTCTCTGCTAACTATAGGCAGGTCAAGTTATTCATTAGCAAACGTCAGTATGTGATTCTCATTAACTCCAGGGGAGAGTTCAACCTGGATTAGCAACTGGAATACGTAGTGTAGACACTGTCACAGGAAGTTCTCCCATATGTCTAACCTAAATCCTTCCTGCCACCACTGAAGTCCATTTCCTCTGTGCTGGGAGAAAGGGATAGCTGGACACAGTCCTCTGCTTTAGACCCATCACCTGCTTGACCACGGCAGTCAGATCTCTCCTCAGCTTTCTCCAGGCAACAGTGACCTGCTGGCCCAAGCAGCTGTTCAGCATCGGCACCTGTCCCCAGCCTTTCTCTCTATGTGAGAAATGTGCGCCCTACTTCCTGGTTCAGGCCTAACCCTTCCTTCCAGGAGACTGGGCACTAGAGCCCCCACTCCTAGGTTCCTGCTGATAGACAAAGCCAGGTGTGGTCCCATCCCCCTCCTCTTACTCGTCCTGGGTGGCATCTGGGACTAGAGATCAGAGTTCATGTCGGGAAATGAGAGGGCAGAGTCACTTCTAAGAGGTGACTTGTGGGTTTGTGGGAGAAGATGTAGGACACAAAAGTACCCAGGGGCTCTTGGGGACTGGGGAGGGGTGCGCCTGCAAGCTAAGTGAAGCTTGAAGCATCAAGGAGGGCTGAGAGGCAACCTGGACAGCTTTGCCCTGGGAAAGACCACGGGGACAATAGGCCTGTGGGGAGGACCACAGAGGTCAGCCTGGTGGGTCAGCCTGGTGAGGGTTCGGGATGAACAGATGAAGCAGCTTATTTGGAAAAGCCTAACCCCAGGACAAGAAGCCAGGCTAAGAGAGTGAACCCCCCACCCCAGCACTGCCACATTCTTCAGACCAAGTTGTCTTTTGATACAGCGACTTTTTGGACACTGAGGAACACAAGGCAGGTCTCCAGCCTGCCCTGTGTTTTTGATTTCTAAAGCCTTTCCTCTTAAAGACGGGGTCTTATTTCATAACCCTAGGTGTTCTGGAACTTGTTATGTGCCTAGAACAAGCTGGCCTCAAACTCACAGAGATCTGCCTGACCCCAGATTTTATTTTCATTTTTAAAGTGTGTCTGTGTGAGTGTGTGCTGTGTGTGTGTCGCACCTGAGGAAGTTAGAAGAGGGAGTCAGATACCCTGGATCTGGAGTCACAGATGGTTGTGAGCTGCCTGACACCGGTGCTGGCAACCAACCTGGAGTCCTCCAGAAGACTATAGATAGTGATATAATTAAGGATGGCCTTGAACTCCTGATCCTCCTTCATCTACCTCCATGTGCTGGGACTATAGATGTGTCCCGCTACTCCTGCTTAAGCCTGGGGTCTTTCTGCAAGGTCGTCCTGAGCCTCTCCTTCCCTCTCCTGTGCCTCTCTGCTCATTGGTAGAGTGTGGACAGGAAGGAACTGGGGAAGGGGAAACCAGGGCTCTGGGCGAGTTGCCATGGAGGCTGCCTTAAGCGCCAGCCTCCTCTGTGACTGGAAATACCCGATGTGTGGTTCCTGGCCCTAGCTTTCCAGGCATCTCCTGGGTTTGGCAGATGTAGCTGAAGCAGCTGCCCGGTCATCATCAAGTTGGCCCTGGCCACTAGGCTTATCTCAACTCTGCAGCTGCCAACCTATACCCTGCCTTCTCTCTCTCCTGTCATCCCCCCCCCACTTCGGTTTTTTTGAGGCAGGGTTTCTCTGTGTAGCCCTGACCTGGAACTTGCTCTGTAGACCAGGCTGGTCTTAACTCAGAGATATGCCTGTCTCTGTCTTCTGAGTGCTGGGATTAAAGGTGTGCACCACCGCTGCCCTCCAGTCTTTTGACTGACCACAAACAGATAAAAAGAAACTTCGAGAAGCCTTAGCTTCTCCTCTCAGGCCTACTGTCTCTGCCCTTATTGAGAAAGCACTTATCTCAGTCCCAGACCCCACCTGCTTTGAGAGCTCTGGGAAGGCCAAGGAGACAGCATGGAATTACTCCAGGCCCTAGGTGCCTGGGACCACGGAGGAGGAGGAGATGGTTGGCCTTCCTGGTTTCACAGGCCACCTCAGCAAGAGGGCTGCCTCAGTGGAAAGATTTTTCCCTAGGAGGTGGAAGTGCGGACAGCTATCCTCCAGGTTGTCCAGCCGGGACCTCTGCCACAGTCATCCTGCAAAAGGGCCTGACCTCTTGACTTCTCACACTTTGCTCCCCTCCTCCTGCTCCTGGCGCCTCCTCCCTCAGGAGTGTGTGTCTCTTTTCTCTTCTTTTACGTAAACTCTGACACTCATTTGTGCCCTGTCCCCTGGGTGGCCTCTGGTTGTCTTTGTGTTGCCTAGAGGGAAGGAAAGGAGCTAAATTACTGTTTGAGTCTTGCAAATGCGTAGTTGAGTGCAGTCCTTCACTCTCCCAGGTCACTATTATCATCACATCGCACAGAGGAAAAAGCAGGTGTAGAGTCATGGTTAAGTTAAAAGCCCAGGACCACATGGCCAGGTCCCAGGCACACTCAGTCATCAGACCCCAGGCCACCTCAGTACTTGGCCTTGGTCAGTGCTCTTCAGATCAGAACCCATTGTGAGTTAGAACACCGTGCCCCTCTTGTCTCCCAAGCCCTCGGGTTTTATCTTCAGTTCCTGCATCCTGTTCCTCCCTTGAAGTCCCCCAGCCACTTCTGGAGGCCAATGCTAAATCATCATCTTCCTCTCTCCTCCCTTAGCCTCAGGCCTATTCTCACGGGAATCCACTCTGACCCTGGGCGAAAACTCAAAGTACGCAGTTTCGCAGTTTCTCAATGGAGCTGTAGGGGAAAGTGCGCCGCGCTGCGGGGCGCTGCCTGCTAAGCGGGAATCCAGATCCTAACCGCTGGCGCCCCTCGAGGGGAGGGGAGAGGGCGGAGGTGCTTCTGCGGCGGCATCTGTCCGAGGCGGGCGGGAAGCTGCTGCATTAAATTGTAAAATCGATTTATTGACCGGCAGGTGCGAGCAGCGGCAGATGGAGAGCAGCGCTGCCCGGGCGCATCTGCGGGGAGCGGCGGCATCGATCCTGGCCCCCCTCTGAAACCGTTCGTCCTGGGCCTTTCTGTCGGTTCACTCCTAAATGCAGGGCCAAGGTCCGAGAAACTGCAGCGCCCGAGTGACTAGTGTAGTTCAATTCCCTTCCCTATCCCCTCCTGTCCTCAGGGCCCGAGCTGCGCCCCCACGGCTGGCAGGCTCTGCCAGCCCCACTGCCCCAGTTGGCACGCGGCGGGCCAGCCTGACGCGTGGCAGCGCCCTGCGGCAGATGAGGCACGCGCCGGCCTCATTTCAATGAGAATGGATCGAATGAAGCAGCCATGTGGCAGCAACAGTTTGCAAATCTCCCCGCCTTCTGTGCAACTCCCCGGCCGCGGCTCCCAGCACGTGGCCCCTTCACCGCAGCGACCGCAGCAGGGTCTCTCAAGGCTTAAGTGCCCCGCCTCAGACAGGCCTGCTTCCCCGCCCCCAGCCTGTCCTGCGGGCGCAGTAGCCCAGACCCCACCTCGCTTCTACCCGGGTGCAGTGTGCCGGCTCCAGACCGCTGTCCCTTGGGAAGAGTAGCGGCCAAGAGGAGGGCTAACACCGCGCTGGAGGTCTCTGAGCTGCGCTCATAGGCTTCCAGCGGGGAAGGGGGCCCGAAACCTCACCCCAATAACCTGCGGCCAATTTGGAGACATAGCTGAAAAAACTTTGGCTTTTTTTTTTTTCAGTTCCAGGGGTTGGTTCTGCATAATTGGAGAAACTGAGAAGTGGCATGCATGCACAGTGGCCAGGAGGAGGCAACAGCAGAGGCAGAGACCTTCTAGGGAGAAAGGCTTTCACAGGCTTCCAGTACTCAGACTCTGAGCTGGGAAACGTTGAGGATGGTGTGGAGTTGAGGAGCTGTGGACCCAAGAAAGGGCTTCAGTTTATGGGGACTCATGTCGGAGTGTCTATATCAGGGTCAGAGTCAGCAGGCCCTGACTAGAAACGAGGTCCACTGCATCCTCTGCCTCACGGTCTTTCGTTCCCTCGAGTGACCAGGACAGTGTTGCCTTTCTTCCACCTGAGTCGCGTTTTTTGCTCATAACGAGGGAGTGGGAGAGAAGGGCTCCAACTGTGCTGGAGAACCATCCCCTACACATTCAGACCTAGCAACTGACCCCAGCCGATGGGGCCCGAGGCTAAGAGCGGTGCCCTGGCCAGGGAAGAACCGCGGGCACATTATGAATAGGTTCTCTGGTGAAGAGGAAAACGTAACGCTTTCCTGTCTGGGTCAGAAGTCTTCTAGGTTGGATGGCTCACATTGTCCATGCTGAGGAAAACAGTGATCCCAACTTTTGTTTGGTCCTTGACTATCTGCAAAGTATTTTCGGCACATTAATGTGTATGACTGAGTAGAACACTTCCAAGAGTATTTAATAGGTACCCTGTATGGAAGTAGATGTCTCCCTTGAGAGTTAGGCAATCGACAGCGTTAGAAAGAGAGAGCACGTGTCGGTGAACTCCCAGGCTAGGATTTTGGTATGAGAGCTAATAGAATCTGGTAGGGTCGGTTGCATGCCAGTTCTAAGGAGAAAGTGGGAGCATTCTCGGACACCCAACGCAGGTCTAGGGATACACGAGGATGCAGAGAGAGGGGATTTGGAAGTCCACTTGCCAGGACCGCCGGGAGGTACTCCCTGAGCTCCCCCTCCCTCGGGCCTGGGACTCGGCTTGCCCATAACCCACATTAACTCGCTAGTGCAGCCTGGGCCCATCTGCCGGCCCCCGCCCCACCTCGGTTCCCCACGCCAACCCGCTCGCGCCAGATGGCGGCTGGGAGGGGTGGCCGTGCGTGGGGGACCCCGGAGCCTCTCTCCTCACCTCACCCCACCCCCACCCCACGCTCAGAACCTCATGTTCCTCACACACACACACACACACACACACACACACACACACACACACACACACACACCCAGCAACACCAACCAAGTCAAAAATCAGACCATATTCGTCATTGGCAGCTGTTGGGCTCCTCTTCCCCTACAAGGCCTCCCTGGGGCTGGAGCCGCGTCCCCGCTCACCCCCCCCCCGCCCCGCACTGATCTTATCATCCGACGACAGCCAGCCATCACCACGCGGGCGGGCTGACAGATGAAGCCACAGTGCCCCACTGCCCTCAGTGCAGCCGAGAGAGTTCTTGAGCACCCCCGAGACGGGGAGAAGCCAGCCCCCCTTGGTCTGCGGCCTCCGGGGAGCACGATGGGTTCTGGGAAAGCAGCTGCACCGTTTGTGCTCAGAGGCCACCCAGGAGAGGCACGCGTGCGACATGGGTGAAGCCGCCCGAAACTCAAACAACTTGTGCGCCTCCAGTCCCACCCTACATCCTGCCCTATGCCGAGAGAACTGGGCCTGCTCAGCCCCAGGCTCTCTCACCTGGCGTCTCTAGTGGCCCGTGGAAACTCCGGAGTTAGGACAGTTCCTCCCTAACCCCAGTGGAGCTAGGGGACACGGGTCGGGGCCGGGATAGGCGACGGAGCCCAAGCGTGACCCAGGTGAGGTAGGCACTGAGGGAGAGGCCAGGACTTCATTATCATACAGCTGAGGGCGCACCCCCACCCCTACTTGGAGAACCACGCCCCCTACCTCCCCTTCGGACCTCTAGTCCCGGCTAGCACGAGCCGGGGCTGGGGGTGGGGGCGTGGAGAAGAGAGAAGGCACGCGCAGGGCACGCCCCGCTGCTGGAGAGTGACACGCCTACCAGGTGCAGGGAAGACAAGAGTTGTAGACGCTTGGCCCCTCGCCTCGCTTGAAATGGCCACGGAAAGGTTAACGCGTCCGATGGCTTCCCTGCGGTGCTGGGGACGCGTGGTGGGTGGGTGTTCATAGGCTGGAGGCCAGCGAGGCACGAGCCACCTAAAGTCTGGGAAGGAAAGGGAGATCCAAGTCCCCTGGCGCTGGTTTTCTCTCTTTTGGTTTAAGTTCGTCCCACCTGCTGGAGGACTATAGTAGCTATGCCTGGAGCAGATGCACCGCCTAGGGGTACCCCTTAGAGTTTCCACCCCAGGACCATCCCGGAACCGCCTCACCTCCCGCCGCATCACTGGGCTACCCTCCTATCCTCTGGTGGCGAGGGTCTCAGCCTTTAACCAGACGATCTCTGAGGACTGCTCCCTGGGCACGCGCAGTGCTGGGAGCCCAGAGGGGCGGGGACCTGCGCCCTACTGGCTAGTTGACCGGGGGAGCGGCGGGGGCGGAGGCCCCCGCCGGTGGGTGCTGGGACTGTAGCCACTAGAGGCCTGGAGGGGAGGGGAGAGTAACCATGAGCCCGGCTGAGTGACAGGCTGCGAAGAGGAGCCAATATATATAAGAAAGGCTCCGGAGCGAGCAGGTTTCAGTAGCGGCGCTGCTCGCCGGCCAGGAACCCGAGGCCCAGAGCCTCAGTCAAAGCCGCTTGGGTGCAGTGTACCCCGGCACTAGACCGCTTGGGGCCCTAGGATTAGCTCCGGGACACATACTTAGAGTGACCATCGCCCAGTCGCCTCCACCTGGATTACCTACAGAAGAATCGAGACGCGGAGTTTTCGAGAAGGTGACAAGGGAGCAAGAGTGCCCAGAGGAATCAGCTTTTCAGGAACTGGCAGACGGACGAGCGGGAGAGCTACATCCCTAACAAGCAGATTCAGAGTCCCCGCGTGGAGAGGACGCCCCCAAGGAATGACGCCCGCGTCTCGGAGCGCCTTTCACTGGGCGCTACTGCTGCTGGCGGTATTGTGGCCGCAGGTAACGTCCCGCGCCCTCTCCGCCCCCTCCCGCAGCGCTCCTGGCTTGCGCCCCGGCGCCAGCTGAACCTGACCGCTCTCCTCCCTCCTTCTCTCCGTCCCTGTGCAGCAGCGCGCGGCGGGCTCCGGCATCTTCCAGCTGCGGCTGCAGGAGTTCGCCAACGAGCGCGGTGTGCTGGCCAATGGGCGGCCCTGCGAGCCGGGTTGCCGGACTTTCTTCCGCATCTGCCTTAAGCACTTCCAGGCAACCTTCTCGCCGGGACCCTGCACCTTCGGCAGCGTCTCCACACCGGTATTGGGCACCAACTCCTTCGTCGTCAGGGACGAGAATAGCGGCGGTGGTCGCAACCCTCTTCAACTGCCCTTCAATTTCACCTGGCCGGTAAGCACAACCTGAATGCACTGGGACATCACCGAAGGCAAAAGAAGGGAGCGCCCAGAAACCAGAGCCTCTCTCCTAAGCGCCCCCCCCGCCCGCCCCGAGAGCCCAGGGGCCCTTTCTCCCCCACCTCCATTCTCTCATAGGATCATCCCGAAAAATACTTCCACTAGTCTTTCTTCCTAGTTCCTTGCCTTTTCTCCCACCCAGTTCTTGGGATACGAGTTTCATTACCGATACCCCAACTCTGCACCACCCGCCCATCCCCAGCTCCCATTTACTCTCCCGCCTCCCTCATCCCTCCCCTGTCCTCTCAGCTCGCGCTGCCCGAGCACCAGTTATGACCTGAGCTCGGTAACTGTATCCTGCAATTAGATTAATTAAATAGGTTGCTGCGAGGTACCCTCTCCTTTCCCTCCCTGCTCATATCGCTATCTCTCTGTCCCCACCCCCCTTTTGCTTCCCAGGGTACCTTCTCACTCAACATCCAAGCTTGGCACGCTCCGGGAGACGACCTGCGGCCAGGTGAGTATCTCATTCCTCAGCCACAGGGGGGCGACATCACACAGCGCCGAAAGAGTTAACCTGTTATAGGCGGGGGAAACGCGGGCTTGGGGGTGGGGGCCAGGACGCTTAGCTTGGCCGGAGCTGCGCCCCGCGCTGGACGCTCGGATTCCGCTTGCTGCCTGGACTCAGAGCACAATTGCGTTTCCTGCGGGTTATTTTTGGCGTGGGAACGCGGGGAGCACGGCGGTGAGAAAGGCCGAGGCTGCCAGCGCCGCTGACGGGCCCCTTCCTGTATTTTACACCTTTTGCGAATTCCGCTCCTTTGGAAAGGGAATAATGGCTTTGGGATGTTGTTCTGACACAGAGGAAAAGGATATTTCACCAGCACAACAATTCTCACTTTGAAAAGGAAAAAAGAAAAAAACATTACCTGGAGCAGAACCCCTGAAACCGCACCAAAGAACCCCTTGCTCCCAAATCTCGAATCAGATTTTTTTTCCATTTTGACCTCTTTTCCTCTTTCCCCTCTGTATCTGCCTTCACAACCCTGGGGTATCTTAACATCCGTCTATTGTACCCTTTTTGAATGCTATCAAGCCCCCCCTGCACATGCACACACCCAGGGAAGCTAAGTAGCAAGGCTTTGGGACCCGCTGTGCTTGCTGGCAGGTGGGGCTACGGGGATAACTAGTCCGGTGGTTAACTGACCGCGATGTCACGGCGGCGAAGGAGACAGTGGTGGGTGCTGGTCTCTGGCTCTCTGACCCTGTCCTCTCCCTGCAGAGGCTTTACCAGGCGATGCACTTATCAGTGAAATCACCATCCAAGGCTCCCTTGCTGTGGGCCAGAATTGGCAACCCGATGAGCAAAACAAGTCCCACACAAGACTGCGCTACTCTTACCGGGTCATCTGCAGTGACAACTACTATGGGGATAACTGTTCCCGGCTGTGCAAGAAGCGCAATGACCTCTTCGGACACTATGTGTGCCAGCCAGACGGCAGCCTGTCCTGCCTGCCCGGTTGGACTGGGAAATACTGTGATCAGCGTAAGCAGCCAGGCCCCTACTGGAATGGAAAGGAGGGGATTTCCCCCAAGAAAATATTATATACTTGTCGCAGCTTCCCTCAGAGTGGGTCTGTGTTACCTACAAGTTGGGCCTCAGAGCCAGCTGGGGATGCTGTAATGTGGGACTCAGAGCCTTCTCCCAGCGGGCACAAACCCACAGGGATCCCTAGTCTTCATTCCACCCAGCATGGTTTTCTCCCACCCCCTTGTCCCTGGTTCCCTTTAAGATAACCATGGCTCCTCTCAGAGGCTAACGGTAGGAAGTGAGCTCAGGAGAGTAGGACAGGAGATTGAGACTTTGGTACCCCAACCTCATGCAGCCCTATTTCCTTTCCTTAGCTATCTGTCTTTCTGGCTGTCACGAACAGAATGGCTACTGCAGCAAGCCAGCAGAGTGCCTGTAAGTTGGGGGCGGGAAGCGGGAGTAGGAGGAGGACTCCTTGTAACCAGGCTCTCACCTCACACTCAGCTCCCCTTGTGTCCTGCAGCTGCCGTCCAGGGTGGCAGGGCCGCCTGTGCAATGAATGTATCCCCCACAACGGCTGTCGCCATGGCACCTGCAGCACCCCCTGGCAGTGCACCTGTGAAGAGGGCTGGGGAGGTCTGTTCTGTGACCAAGGTGAGTGAGGGAACGAGGGTAGGGTGGCAGGGGCTGAAACTGGAGATGGTGACGGGCCCTCTCTCCTCTTACTGCTCAAAGATCTCAGGACTAGTATATGTGCGCGTGTGTGCGGCTGGGGCTGGAACTCAGGGCATCACACGTGCTAGGCAAACACTCTACACCGCAGCTCAATCTTGGTGCTTTTAAAGAGCTAGAAAGGATAGTGGGACATTCTTCCCCAGGTACAGAAGAGCCAGTTTGACTAAAGAGGCCCCAAGGGTAACAGCTTGTCAGCCTGGAGCTTATGCTCATAAATTCTAGCAAGACCAAAGAGAAAGGGAGGCCGAGCTCTGTTCCTCTTTCTGCCTTTAGTTACCTATTAACCCTCTGAGTGTTTGCTCACCTTCCAAGGCTGTTTGAGCAGCTCTCCCCTAAACAGCTGTCTGGTGGGGTGTGCCCACTGGCTGCCCTGGGCTGTGGCCAACCTGGGCCTCTGGGTGGAGGGGACGTCTAACTGCCTCTTTTTAGTGTGGGCACAGCCACCTGCCTTTCTCCAGTGACACTTGCTAGGCAGCTGCCTGGGCTCACACAGTCTCTACCTGGTATTTGAGGGTTGTCACTCCTCTGCCTCCACAGGAGTCTGTGAGCCCCAGCCTTGAGAGAGGGAACCTTTTCTTCTCCATCCCTGTACCCAGCTGCATCCTCTCATTTTCAGGGTCAAGCACTCTGCTTGCTGCCATGGAGACACTGCATAGGCCTAGAGAGGATGGGGAGGGGGGTTGCCATGCTGGAAAAAGTTTGCCTAGGCCCTGACTTGTTGCCAGCATTGAATTCAGTCCTTGCATGCTCATGCTCATGCTCATGCTCTCTCTCTCTCTCTCTCTCTCTCTCTCTCTCTCTCTCTCTCTCTCTCTCTCTCTCTGACACACAGAACTTCCCCCATTTTTCTACACACACACACACACACACACACACACACACACCTGGTCCCTTGCTCTCTCCCTTTCTGCGGTCCCGATTTGCTCCCAGGTGGTACAGTCATATACTCATTGTATGCAAACACAACCCTTATAGCCCCTCTGTTTGCTTAGTCTGGCTCTCCCTCACTGTTCTTCTCCAATAAGAAAATAAATAACTATCATTCTGTCATTTCCCTGCTACTCTTTCCACGTGTTGAAATTTTACTCCTTCTAGGTCCTTCTAAGCTTGCACCTCCTCCATGAAGCCTTTTGTGACTTCCTCATTGGCTAGGGGCCTTGACTTCACCTCCTTCTCCTCCTCATCCTGCTGTGACTGGCGTTGTGTGTGCATACTAATCCAGTTGACCAGTTGTGCTTGGTTTTCCTCTACTTGAGCAGCTTATATGTGGGTTAGGGTACTTCAACACTCACGACTTCACTGTCAGAGAAGAGGGATGCCTAGGCCTGGAAAACTTTGAGTTGAAGCTTCTTTGGGCCAAGTCAGGGTGACTTCTTTGCAGGTAGGTGGGACAGTTTCTGGTCTCACTCAGCTGGTTGCTTCTGGTCTCCACAGATCTCAATTACTGCACTCACCACTCCCCATGCAAGAATGGAGCAACATGTTCCAACAGCGGACAGCGGAGCTACACCTGCACCTGTCGCCCGGGATACACTGGTGTGGACTGTGAGCTGGAACTCAGCAAGTGTGACAGCAACCCCTGCCGAAATGGCGGCAGCTGTAAGGTGAGCCCCAAGCCTGCTCAGGGAGGCAGGGGTCTGATTAAATAGCATCCGTGGATAGGCATTATGGGCAAGAAGAGGCCAGCCGCCAGTCTCATTCTCACAGCCTAACTTTAGCCTGTTTGTGGTCTCTCTCCAGGACCAGGAGG